GCCGGGCCGCGGGGGAGAGAAGCGCCGCCGCCCTGAGGGGAGGCGCAGCCCCGCGTCGTGGCGAGGCCTCCCGGGGCACATCGCTGCCCACCGTTACAAAGCCAGGCCTTCGCCTTTGGCTTAGGGCGAGGACTTTGCATAGACTGAAAGCGGGGAAGAGAACAGAAGCCCCGATACCTAACCCTGCTGCGGCTCGGGTCGGGTGTTTGCTCTGAAAACCCTGTAGCTGTGCTGCCCGGGTAAGTGTTGCCATGTTCACCGCATCATTGGCCAAGACCTCCTGGATCCTCTGACGGGAAAGTATTCTGCTCATGGGGCACATAAAGAAGTAAGTCGGAAAAGTTGAGCCATTGCTGTTGAGCACTACTTGGTAGGGAGAAGGAGCAGCAGCTCAGTCAACTCTCTACTCACTTGTGCTCTCTTCACAGTGATTTGTTTTCTTCCCTCTTGTTCCTATCATTTTCCTAACAATTTATTTCATTGTATTTTCTAAAACCAGACTCTGTCTCCTCTTTCAATTCAGTCTGATGTGTGAATTGCCTGGCTGTGGTATAAAGTCATTGAGAGGACAAAGATCTTGATTCATCTTCCTTGGAGACACATCCTTCACCCCTCGGCTTTGACCTTGTGTCTGAAAGCTTGTCAGTTCAGGATTAATTGTAAGCATGAATTGATTCTACGTTGGAAATTAACCTTGAGTTACTAATTGGGCTCCATTCCAAACAATTCTTTTAATTTGGAATGAACCAACCAATGTGTGGTGTGGTCCCATCAGGTGACAGCTAAAAAGGAGCAGAGACACATCTTAAGTACTTGTGGGGCTGACCTGATAGGAGAGCTCCCTCTTACGACAACCACCCAAAGCAGGATTAATGGCAGGTTTAATTATTTCCCCAGCTATAACCAAAAATTAGAGCCAGTTGCAACCAACGAAACTACTGGGGCAGAAGAGAGTAGCAGGTGGAACGTCTAGAGTCTACTTGTTTCAGTGCTAGACTTGAAAAAGTTCTAACATGAGGAATAGAGAGGGTCAGGAGGATAGCCTTTCAACACAGGTTAGAAATCAGAGAAGAGATTGGACCTTTTTTTTCCCACTGTTCCTTCTCTTTAGGAGGGAATATATCCATGAATCGGGGAGAAGCCAAAAGGCAGCACATACAGTCTAATTCATGTTGATCCTAAAAGGTGAACTCCTCCCAGCCACAGGGATTATCACTGATACCAAAAGAGCCCTTTGCCACTGTTACTTTTTGGACACAGTTTAAACCCCAATCTCATACCATCTGTGGTCCTTAAAGATTTTTTTTCATTGTCGTGAGTCTGAAGGGGTTAATCTGACTGGTCCCAACTTTGTGTGTGCTATCTAACTTCTTGCTCGGGTTGTGTTTGGCAGCAGTGTTTTTGGCTTCTGATCCAAAATACTGCATTTTGCTTCAGAAATTGCCTTCCAGGGCTGGCTGCCTGGCTGAGCTCCGGTACAGTAATCAAGCTGGGTAGGTTGCTCCATTTAGTTCCAATTGTGAGAGTTGGGCAGTTTTGTAAAAGCCCTTTGGGGCTACTTTGGGTGGGAAAAAGACCCATGAACAAACTGTTTTGATTTGCTCCAGGAGGCTTAGCTAACAGATGTTGGCTGGGTCCCTACTTTGAGGGCTTTTTATTGCATATTCATGAGTTGACCTTTCAGCCACTTCCAGTCCAGGAAGGATGTGTATCTACATTTTGTTTGCAGTATTAGGAATATAAAAGGTTGCCTACATGACTGAATGTGAAAATGGATTGGGGTTTATTATTTCAGGTTCTTTCTGTCTAAGTTTCTTCTGAAACCCTTCTGTGTTCCGTCCGCATCTGCTCTGTGGTAGCCTGCAGTTCCCTAGTTTCTCTAGCAATTACTGTTTTCCAAGGTAGAGTCACCAGGGTATGCAGTGGGGAGGAATGACAGTCTAAATTAAGAGGCTCTCACAGACTGGGAAGATGATAATTTGTCTGTAACAAAACTCCTCATTAGAATACTGTTAATTTCCTTTCTGTGACAATTATAGCACAGCACTAGCTCATATGTGCAATGTGCAGAAATGAAAAAAACCTATCATTGCCACTAGTGAAAAACATTCCTTAGAGGAGAAAAATGAACTTGTAATTTTGCAGCAGTTTTCCAGTTTAGTGGGAGTCTGGCGTTCAAGTAAGGTTTTGGGGGTTCTCTCTGTTGTTTACTACATTTATGTTAGAGTTCATGTTAGCATTTTCCTGGTAGCATCTGGAATGAGGCAAGACAGAGCTCTTATCATGGTAGTCCCCAATTGTGTGGAACCTGTTACCCCCGAAATTCAGCTCATTTATTCTCTCTTTACTTTAAAAACTTGCCTCACTCCTCCTTACAGACATCTTTAAATAATAGCTGTTTCTTTCTGTTGGCATAACATCTTTTTGCTTATCCATCTGTTTTGAAGTTTTGATGAGGTTTAGTTTTTTAATCAAAAAGAGATTGTTTTTATAATAGCTGTTTAGTGCCTGGAATATTTTGGCAGGGATGGTGTTGTGTGAGTAAAGGGGGTTAGGGCTTCTCAAGAGTGCTGGGTTTGGTAGCCTGTTCTTAGGCTATGGGAGAGCAGACTGGGCAGGCTCTAGACAAGCAAGAAGTGGATGCTGTGCTCAAGGAATCACCTTCAAACCTGAAGAAGGCCTGCTCTGTTTAACTGATGATGATAGTTTTGGTCATTAAGGGAGAGAAGCCCTCTTGTTCATCAGTTGCACTTGAGACCCCTGAAGAACTTTTACTTTGTTGTCATTTTCCTACCTGAATCCCAAGGTAGAAAAGTTCTGCTCTTCAGGTCCAAAGGTTTTGTGTTTACTTCTTGAACTTGGTTTAAAAGCTTAGCTAAAATCTTCAAGTACTGGAAGGGACATTGCTTTAAAAAATATCTTTTGGCTAGGATCGTGATCACCTGGGCTCAGAACCATGAACAGAGGCAAGTTTTTTTACCTTCGCACTCCTTGGAGCTAACGGATTCCTTTCTGATGTTTGTTCAGGATGGGGCAGCTGGCAGTACTACAGAATAAGGTTATCATCTTAACTCTTTCATTCGTTCCCCATTATGGATCCGTTGCAGGATTGAGTTCTCCTGTTGTTCTTTCCAAGGAGTCAGATCAGGTAACAGGGGAGATCATTCCCTTTACTTGACTTACTTGACCTTGCTCAGCTGTGTGAGGTATTTTAGCCCTTGGCCCTGACCTTAAATTAGTGCCAGCCGTGCGGGATGCTGAAATGTGGAAGCCTGTTGTTCCTTGGTGGCTGTAGGTAGGTGTAGCTTATGTGGGCATATGGAAAGAACTTGGCACCGTTTCCCTTTTCCTGCAGAAAAATCTTTTAGTAACTAAGAAGCTAGAGCCCAGTGGCTAAGAGCATGGGTCTGTGTTGGTTTCCCATCACTGTGGGGGACAAATTTGATCCAGGACAAAAGTAATATCCAATTTGGAGTTTGTGAAAGCTGTAGATGGGAGAGACAATCTCCCATCTGCTGGATGGAAGATCTGGTTCCAGAGGTATTCTGACTGGATTTTTTTTTTCTTTGCTGTTTTTTAAACAAATGAAAATAATTACTTCTGGCTTGGCTCTGTCCTTGGGGCTCTTGCATCAGGAAATGTGGCCGGCGGTGCTGGACCCTCTCTGCTGACTCTGGGCTCGCTCTGCCTTTGGCTGGCGGTGCAGCAGAAGGCAGAGGCGCTGG